CCTCCATATATTGAAGGAAGCTCGGCTGGTGACTTACCGACTTCTCTCTGGCGAGGACGGGGCAGGGCTAAAGTTGGCCCACAGAACTCACAGAGACTTCATTGAGGGCGATCCGATTGTAGGGATAACCATGTCAGATACCTGTCTGCCGCGGAACAACTTCGACCACAAGTACAGGGTTCTGTTTCCTGATCGATGGACGTGGGATCGGGTTGGTCCGGTACTTAGGTCGGGCTCGAGCGTGTGGTATGTGGACGGGTCCAAAACGGAGTCGGGTGTGGGTTCGGGCGTATACGGTGTCCGCCCGGACACGCGTGTATATGCAAACCTTGACCCGTATTGCACAGTGTTCCAGGCCGAAATACATGCAATAGAGATCTGTCTGAGAATCAATTTGGAAAGTGGGTATAGAGACCGCACCATCTATGTGTTCTCAGACAGCAGGGCTGCACTGCTGGCGCTCCGTTCAGCTCAGGTTACATCCAAGCTGGTCTGGAGCTGCTTTGCTGCATTTATGGAATTGGCATTGGGTGCCGGGCCATAGTGGCCATGCGGGCAACGAAGTTGCCGATGAGTTGGCGCGGAGGGGATCTGGGACTGCCTTTGTGCAGCCGCTGCCTTTCTGTGGTCTGCCTTCTTCCGCCGTGGGGGCCAGGCTTGCCTCCCTACTCGCGGCGGAATGCGGTCGTCACTGGCGGGACACGAAAGGGTGCCGTGATGCGAAAGTGTTTATTCCGGCGTGCTCCGGCGGATTCGCCGCGGAGTTGCTGGAGATGAGCCGGAGCCGGGTTCGCACTATTGCGAATTTCTTCACGGGGCACTGCCCGGTGAAGTACCACCTGCATAGGCTGGGGAAGTCGGGCTCCCCCTGTGCAGATTTTGTGGGGGTGGCGATGAGACCGCCGTGCACATTCTCTGCGACTGTCCGGCACTGGCTGTTCGGCGCCGCAATTGTCTTGGACATGGGTCCCTAAGTGTTCGGGAACTATTGTCCAACTCCCTTAGGGATATCTCCGGCTTTGTAATTGGAACGGGGATATTATAGACGGGAGAGTGGGGTGGCTACAATAAGTCAAAAATGGCTGCGGTGGCTTGGGGGGATGCTCCTGGTTCCCTTGGAATCTACAATCTACAATGTCGTATGACACATTAGTATTGAGGAATAAATCCTTTACCCTGACCTCCTAATCTACTATCGTTGCCATTATAATGTATTGAATATGTGGTTTTCCTTATTAAATCTTTTGCTTTCCATCTAATTTCTTGTATAGCAGCAATACCAATTTTGTATTTTAAATTTTCAGAGGCTATCTCATGCATTTAACCTGGTTGTAGCATTGTTCTGACGTTCCATGTTGCAAGTCTTAAATCATAGTCCTCATTTCGTTGCTGGTCTGTTACCATTAGAATCAATTCGTACCCGCAGCTTCGATTTGGCAATATTTCGAACAATTTGATATTGTATATGAAAACAAGCGCTTACGACGTAAACTTTACAAAGTATCACATTCTAAAAAGTTTAATAAAAGCTCTTGATATTACACATTTTTCCTAAATGCGTTCTATACGTAGTGGATATGTAAAATAAAAGTAAATCGGGTATCGAAAAAATCGAGCACGCTTTTCTTATATATGTCATATAAATGTTTGCAGAAATAACTAATTAAATAAACTAGCACATATTTTCAGCAATAAAGTACTAGTTATTAGGTTTTTTTCCTAAACTGCAGCATAAAAATGTTAAGTTTTTAATAATGTGGTAACGTTGCTATAATAAACATTTGCACAGAACTTTAAATTGAAATTTTCAAGCAAACGTCAAAGTATCCGTGACTTCAATAATGCTTTAAAAAATATTTAAGTACGGTATTAATACGGTTGTTGTACCGTCTCAGAGCTTTCGATACCTTTATATTGTAAAAATAATTACTAAAGTTTTTCGTACATTTTGGAATACAATTTTTACAATATTATTACATACTTTGACGTTTGTTTGAAAAATTCAATTTAAAGTTGTGTACAAATGTTAGTTTTTAACAAACGTTACCAAGTTATTAAAAACTTTGCATTTTTATGCTGCATTTTAGGAATAAAACTTAAAAAGTAGCACTTTATTGCTGAAAATAAATGCTAATTTATTTAATTGGTTGTTTATGGCACTATTTATATGAGAAGCTATAAGAAAAGCGTGCTCGATTTTTTCGATACCTGATTTACTTTTATTTTATGTCTCCACTACTAATGTCTTTACATCTAACAAGTCCCAATACCCAATTTTTCTTACGAAATATTACGAATTCTTGGCTTCGATCCTGTTTTTTTCTTTAAATACTATTGATCGCAGCGTTCCCACTTGGATACAATTGTGTCCATTTGGATACATTTTTTGCTTTAAATTTAGCTTGGATACAAAGATACTGAAATCTGCTAAAATGACGAAATTGGCTACATTTCAAAATTTTGCTGAAATATGGATACATTTATTCTCTAAACACTAAATAAATGTTACAAAACTATTAAAATGCTGCTAATATTAAAACGCGTAAGTGCTTTATCTTTCAAAAGTGTTATTTCCTGGCATTTCTAAGCAGATTTCCGAGTTTACTAAAGGAAAGTTAGAAATCTGCTTTATTAAATAAGTGCTGCCTCTTCCTGTATTCAAATCTAGAACATTTAGACAAAAACGTACCAGAAATATTTTGGAGTAAGCTAGTTGTAATAGAAAATGCATTGGCTGTACATATTTTTTTAAATTTTTCCGTTTTAATGGTGAATTGTCTTTAGCACATAGTTCAACAACATATATGCAAAACATATGCATATTCTGACCTTAACTTTTAACACATTTAAAATATAATAGAAGTTGTATGTGATTTCTTAAAGAATTTACTATAAATAAAAAAAAAAACAATAGGACGGCTTGGTATAAAAATTCTGCTTTATGAGGTTGGATATATTTTGGATACATTTTTTCCTCGAAATTGGATACATTTTGTTTTTACCAAATGGAAACACTGATTGATCGTGTCATATTTCTTATTATTTCTTTCTTTTTTTTACGTAAAACAGAGTTTAATATTTTAAAAAATCTCAGGATATTATACACATTTTTTAAAAAGCTTCTCATTTAAATTCTATTGCACGAAAGAGAAAGAAAGGTAGGAGGAAAGAAAAAATGAAAAAAAAATTCAAATTCATATTTCAGAATGGTTTCAAATGTTAATGAGGAAGGATGTGTAATTTTTCATTCACATTTTGTATTTGCCAATAAGGTAAGTTGAGTAGTGTCGGCTAACAAAAATGGTAATAAAAGTAATAAAGGTTGACACATTTCAACAATTTGAATCATCTTATTTCGATTATTTATACGTTACTTATAAAATTGTTTCAAATAATTTCAGTTAGTTTTTAAGTTATTAAAAATAAATATGTATGTACCTACTTCCAATTAATTTTTTTTTAAATAATTATTTTAAAACTATTTCAAACATGTTATATTGATTGCTTCAAAAATTTTGTTGTGTTCTTCTTTCATATTTTATTAGCAGGTAAACAAGAGCAATCTATTTATAAAATGGCCCTGCCTGTATATGAATCTTAATAGTAAACGCAAACGGACAAAAATTTACATCAGTACCTATTACCTGCCATTTTACAATTGGAGTTTTAGAGTCGTTTGCTAAGATACTATTTATTTCAAAAATAAAAAAGATATTCGAGTCCGGTCATAAAAATATATTATTGTCTTTTCCAGATTCTTTCAATATTTTTTTACTTACCCAGCATTTACACATACAAGTTACTTGCAAGCAAGTTTGTATAATATTTATTGTCAATTAGTTTTTCGAAATGTCAAATTACTTGCTATTATGACATAGGCATTTAGCAAGTTAATTTTTGAAAATGTCTTTGAGAAGAAAACAACTAGCAATATATATAATTGTTTATAAATTTTAGAAACCATAAGTTTGCTAAGTTTAATTTTTTCAAAACAAAATTGAAAAATTTTAAATTAAAAAAAAAAAAAAAATCGAAACAACAAATTTTTTTTTGTGAATTTCTCAATATGTCAAATTACTTGCTCATATTACTGGCAGCAAAATTTTCTTGCAAGTTGAACTGCAAGTAAACAAGCAAGTAGAAATATTTCAATGTGTTAGTAAAATTTTTGTATGTATTGCAACTTTCTTGCAAGTAACTTGTACGTGTAAATGCTGGGTTAGGTAATATATTAAGTTTTAAAAATTTTTCTCAAAAATAGAGGTAAAATTTAGAAGTGTATATAAAATTTGTATTTAAAAAATAATATTTGATTGTATTTTAGATATTATTTTCTAATTCCCTCTTCAAATTTTTTCTTTACTGTGTATTCATGTCAATATTTAATAATTATTTTTCATTAATTATATTTTCAACTTGACACCACAGTTACTTCCCATATCTTGAGTTAACTTACCCTATGAGAAAAAAAAGCTGTTCATTTAAAAATAATGAAATGCTTTCAGTAACATATAAAACGTTGAAGGCGAGGGTTGTGCTTGTTGTTTTTCCGCTGTTTCAAGAATTTTAAAATAATTATGAATGAAAATATTAATATATTTTCTTGATTTTTCAAATATACTTTCGAAATTTTACCTGTTTTATAATAAGTGTGAATTTATTTTAATATTTCTTCTCAAAAAATAGCTACTTCGATTTAAAAAAACCCATATAAAATAAGGTCGTGCTTTCAAGTTTCTCTCTGAGCATTGGGACTTGTTAGATATAAAGACATTAATCGTATTTATAACGTACTAAACTTTTTGGAACGTGATACTTTGTAAAGTTTAAGCCCATTATTTAAGTCACGGATACTTTGAAATAGATTCGAATCGTTTAGTAAAATTTGCTAGTGCCAAATATTTGTATATTTGTACAGATAATAAACGTTACATTTACTGTTCTTAGCTGGCATAAGTGAAACTATTAAAAGAATTAACACAATACAACTTTTTTTTTAATTTGAGATATTTTATTTATTATTTAAATTAAAAAGAATTTTGAAAGTTTTTTTTTTACATCTAATGGTAAATAGTTTGATTTTTAATAGCTATGTATTTATATATATTTCATATGTATGCTATTTCAATTTAAAACCATTTTTTCCAGAACTTCCATTTGTAGCAAAAACAAATTAAATACCTTCCTTTTTTTTTTTAAAAACAAAACATATTAGCGATATTGGTGATGTCGCGGATTTGCAAAGTCAGGATAACCTACGTTATGTTGCTGTACATGTTGATTGTAAGTTGCAGCTGAATTGTAAGAATTAAAATTTTCCAATGATTGTGATTGATTACTATAATTTTGTATGCAATAATCTTGCATGTTATTGTTGCCATAAAACATATTAATATTGCTTAGACTATTCATACTATGTGCATTATTGTTAGATTCGTTACTTGCGTTGTTCAAATTAAGCATATCTATTGCTTGTTGGTGTATAAACATATTATTGGAATCGAATTGCTGTTGCATAATAGACGATTGCTGCTGATAGTAAGACATTGCGTTGATATTTCTCGGTAAGTCTTCTTTACTATTATTAATTTGCCGATTTTGCAACTTTTGTTGGTTTTGCTGTTGTTGAGAAGTTGTAGGAATTGGCTGCGATTGTTGTTGATTTTGCAGGGATAAATTTTTACTTTTTTGCAAAGAGCCCATCAAGTTTGCAATCAAATTTTGAGTATCAACTAGTGAAATACCTAGATTAGTAGTAGAGTTTGAGGCAATGCTACTTGTTTTTGACATATTTGATGAATCTTCAATTTGATTTTCATTATCCCGCAATGAACGTGGAACAGAATCTCCACGAAAAGAATGTGCTAATATTGAAGACTGGGATGGAAACACTTCATTGGCCAATTTTAAGGAATGCTGCGTTGACTCATCAGTATTTTTACGTGCTACATTTTTTGAAGCAGCTTTAACAACATCGTCAAAGTTATAATCGTCTTCGTCATCCTCTGAATCAATCATTTTCTGTAATTTACGATCATCATCTTCATCATCTGAAAACATATTGTAACGTTTCTTTGACAAACTGTCATTTTTATTTGTTTCTAGCTTTTTTTTCCCGTTGTCAAAGTTTCGGATATCACTTGAATTTTGAACTTCTGTTAGACTAGATATATTTACGGATTTCCTTAATTTTTCTACTCTAACTGGGTTTGTCATTTCCAATTTTTTTAAATGTGTAATTAAATGATGCTGCTCTTCACTAGACAAATGTTTAAAATTTTGTAGCAGAGTTTGCAGATCAGAATCTGTCAAGCTCTCTAAGTCGGCCACTCCACTCTGGGTGTTTGTATCTTCTTCTTCATCAGCTGGTTCATTTACTTCTTCTGACTCCTTTCTTTCTTCATATACTACTTCAGCGTTATATTCGTCGTGACTTTCTCTTATATATTCTTCTTCTCCTTCAATTGTTTGTGGCGGATCAATAATTCCTAGCTCAATTAACAAATCTCTAACAGTAATGGCCATATCGCGTTCTTTTGATAATTTAACCATTAGTATCAAAACGTAGATTAATTTATTCATTTCATCGGTGGTTATATCGGTGCGTTTCTGGAGTACTAAGGCAGCTGCCAGCTTTGAGGAAATTATTTGGCGATTTATCGGTAAATCACAAAGTAAATTTTTATTAAGCGGAGACTTGCTATTTTTTGCATCATCTTTTCCATTTTCTTTCGCTTCCTGTTCGCCCTGTTTTTGTTTTTCAATATTTTTCTCATTGGCTTGATGGATTATTCCCGCTATATTTTTGATTGCTCTTTTAACAGTTTTAACTTTGTTTGAGTCAAAAACTTCAGCTATCAACTGGCCTTTAAGTTTTTCTTTCACTGTTTCAAAAAATACGCAATGGTCATCGCTCATTAACATGTCATCTGCTGAATTTGCTTTAATCTACAATTAAATCGAAATCATTATATGAGCATCGTTTACTACGGGCCAAATATAAATTTTTGCATATATAAAGAGAAATAATCGACCGATTTCATTGAAATTTAATATTTAATTTCTTCGTATTGAAACAATGAACATATAAATTTTTTGGAAAAATCAGGGCTCGAAAACTGATCTGCGGGCCGATTTTACATTTTTCACCATATCTACGGAAAGAATTGATGGAATTTCTTGAAATTTAATATTTGAGTTCTGGTTAACTGGCGAGCATTTCTGGGAATTCGGGTAGCACAAAACTAAACTCTACTAAGAGCTAAATTTACATTTTTCTAGGTATGCTAACTATAAGCTTACTAATGTCCTAAAAATTGGAAAGAAGTATTTAAAAGACATTTTTATAATACTCTGTAACACTTGCACTTAACTAGACAATACACATTGCGGTCAGTTATGTGCTGACCGCATCAGATTTTTTTTATAATATTTTTATTATAAGTTTAGTTTTTTTGCATTACAAGGAAGCAAATGAAAGACTACTGGGTAAAAGAAAATCCTAGTGTCGTCCATAAAAACGTTAAAAGAAATTATTGGAGGACGTGAAAAACAAATCATCCAAAGGTAAGAAGTACAATTTTCGAAATTGAAGAAAAAATCTATATTCATTCGCGTAAAAGAACCTTATAAAACAGAACTTTGATCCTTTGCCGCTTAAGATGCCTGAAACAGGTTGATATTATCAGACAATTGCAGTCATCATTACTTGTAATTACAGTCAAACTTGTAACCTAAATCTGGAAATTACTATTAGAAGTCTGCCAGGACTACAGATGTAAAATAAATTTCCCGAAGGAAGTTGTATTGAAATTATGTTTTGACGTTTCAATAAGGACCGAAATTTTTTTCGGTTAAGTCAGCGGAATTTTGGTGGTTAGCAGAGCCACAAAAATTTATAAAAAAAACGATAAACAGCTAATGTTTCTGGTAAAAAAAAATCAATATCGAGTTACTAAATACCTTAGGAAGCACGAATGTTGAACAATGAGATTTTGTAAATAGACCATATCCAAATTATATCCACTTAAAATTAGTTTTTACAACGGTGATAGAGTAAATTTACATAAATTTCTAATATAACTGCCGTATAGAAAATGCGATAAGTCTACTATTACAGTACATGCATGATAGTATATACAGTTTGCTCAAAATTATCACGTCGGTCACCAATCCTGAAAAGTTTTGGTTTTCGCTATTTAATAATAAATAAATAAATAATTTCATTCACTTTGTGAAAGTGTGAAGACTATTTAATTTTACAAAGTTTAAAAGTATAACAGCTTCAGCTTTTTAAGCTTTGGAAAAGGGAAAATAAATGATATAAAGAATGAAGATTTTTTGATAAATTTATTTTGAATTCTCAGATTAGTAGAAAATTATTGGCTAAAATCGTGTCAGAAAAGTTAAAGAAGAATTTAATAACCCAAAATTCTGAAAGACAGAGTTATCTACTGGTTCGTATTGCTTAGGTCGTGAAAGGAAAAGGACAATAGAGATACAAAGATGATTAAAACTAAAATTGAATTAAAATCGGATTAAAACACTACCATATTACACCGTGTATTAATTTTGCAACCACGAGGTAGTAAATAATTCATTGAACGTTGATTAAAATATAATATATACCTTTTCTAAAGCTAGTGCTTTTGATAACAAATCAATCACTTTTGGTCCCAAACTACCCAAATGATCCTCAAGGGCTGTAAGTAGCCTTAAAACAGCAACAACTGTCAATGGTCCGTTATCTTCCGCCTCGACTGACTTTTCCTTTTCTTTTGGGGAAGATTTTCCAACTAAATCATCCTCATATTTTACGTACTTATATGGATTAATTGCACGATATGTTTGATGAGGTGGTGCATAATATCTGGGTACATAGCCCACATGACTCGTCAATCTAGTTATACCGCCGGGCTGCGTTATATGTGGTCTTAATATATAATATTCATTTTGTGCAGCTGATGATAAATGCGAATATCCCGTTGCCCTAATATGCAAAGGTGATCTAGAACGATGAGTTCGTTCATGGCTATGATCTCGATGACGTGCCACAGTATGAGTGTGGCTGTGGCTCCTGCTGCGACTACGTCCATTTCGATGTTTTGAAACTTTACTTTTGCCGCTACTTTGTTTATCACTAAAATCATCACTAAGTGAACTTAGAGATGGACTAATGGACCTAGTGCGCGATTTACGACGTCGTGCTCGACTTATATGACTTGAAGTTGATTTGCTAACGCGTTTGGAAGATAAATCCAGTTCGTCATCGCTAATGTCAATAACGGTTGAAGACTCGTTAGATAAATTTGACGATTTACTCTCATTTAATGGTTTTCGAGGTATAGTTCTAATTTTATATTTTTCTTTCAGCTCGTCAGTTTGTTCTTCACCATCTTCCGGCAAGTTAAGGCGTCGTCTCAATTCATTTTTTTTTTTATCTATTTCTTCCTGATAAATGTCTTTCATTCGTTTTGTCCAAAAAGTAACCCATTCGGGTTTAAAGTCATATTTATTAGCATCCTTTTTTTCTGAAAAAAATATAATAATATAATGTTAATAAACGCATTTAACGTGAATAAAATTTTTAAAATGGAACTTTCGTAAGCTCGGACCAAGTTTCAAGGGAACTCCCGAGTTTTTATAGGATTTTTAAGAGATAACATTTTTTTATTGAAATCCCATTTGTAATTGATATTAACTATTATTTTTTATTATTTATTTTATTTAGTTTATTCCATTGTAGTTTTACCTACTTTATTTTACACTGACTAAAATTATGCCACTTCGTAGTATATTCATATGCATTTCATATGGAGGCTTCTCCTGTAATTCTGTGACCAAAAGGTTGATAAAGAAAACCGTAATTTCGTCTTAAAAGGCCGAGAAGATTTTTCGTTAATCCCGATATACACGCTAAAGCTTAAAATTTATAATGTATTACAACATTAGTTCAAAATTAAGCAATAAAATTACAATATTCCGCTTTACTGTTTGACATCTTTTGTTTCTGGTCATCTTCGGAATCTTTTTCAGAATCTTGCGGTCCTTAAAAATCGATTCTTGAAATTATTCTCAATAAATAGTATAGCAGAGCTTTTTAGGTAGTTTTCTTCAATATCTCGCCTGATTAGACATATTTAATATTTTTTTTCTTACGCCAATTTCTGGACTAAAGACTTTTTGCGTAAAAAATGATTTTCATTAAAGTTTCAAAACAAGAAAACTCTGTAGAACTTGCCAAAACCTTTTCTATAATATGCCACTTGGTCACATTATTTTAATATTTTTACGCCTTCTCGGAACTTATTAATGCAAAGGATTTGCCAGAAATAGATAAAGTTGGATGTAACTTCAAAAATTTGATATAAAAAGAAAAATCGTTGTGATCGTTCAGCACTAAATTCATTTCAGTATATCCGCCCCCCCCCCCCTCCTTAAAAATCCATTAAACTAGGGAAAAAAATTTCAGAGAGACCTCCGATATAGCGATTCTTGTAGTAAATTAAAAAATCTGATGTGGTCAGCACATAACCGACCGCATTGTGTATTGTCTAGTTAAATGAAAGTGTTACAGAATATTATAAAAATGTCTGTTAAATACTTCTTTTCAATTTTTAGGACTTTAGTAAGCTTATAGTTAATATACCTAGAAAAATGTAAATTTGGCTCTTAGTAAAATTTCGCTTTGTGCTACCCGAATTCCCTGAAATGCTCGCCAGTAAGTTTCGGTAACAACCAGAACTCAAATATCAAATTTCAAGAAATTCCATCAATTCGTTCCGTAGATATGGTGAAAAATGTAAAATCGGCCCGCACATCAGTTTGCGAACCCTGATCTTTCCAAAAAATTTATATGTTCATTGCTTTAGTATGAGGAATTCATATATTAAATTTCAATGAAATCGGTTGATTATTTCTCTTTATATACACAAAAATGTATATTTGGCCCGTAGTAAACGTCCAGTTGCCGATGCCTGATTTGCTCCAAAGGCTAGGAATTTTCACGGACGGTCGAGCAAAGCTCATATATGAAATTTCAAGTAAATCGATTGAATATTTTCTTCAAAATGGTGAAAAATGTAAAATCGGCCCGCAAATCAGTTTTCAAGCCCTGATCTTTCCAAAAACTTTATATGTTCATTGTTTTAATATGAGGAATTCATATATTAAATTTCAATGAAATCGGTTGATTGTTTCTCTTTATATACACAAAAGTGTATGTTTGGCCCATAGTAAACGTCTAGTTGCCGTTGCCTGATCTTTCCAAAAAATTTACATGTTCATTGTTTTAATATGAGGAATTCATATATTAAATTTCAATGAAATCGGTTGATTATTTCTCTTTATATACACAAAAATGTATATTTGGCCCGTAGTAAACGTCTGATTTCTTCCAAAACATAGAAATTTTCGCGGACGGTCGAGCTGAGCTTATATATAAAATTTCAAGTAAATCGGTTGAACATTTTCTTCAAAATGTTCAAAAATGTAAAACAGGCCCGCTAAAAAGTGCAGTTCCCGAGGCCTGATATATACCAAAAGTTGATCGATTCGTGCCATGGTGGAAACAAACTTACATATAAAATTTCATCAAAATCGGTTCAGCCGAACTTGAGATACACGCGTGCACACACAGACCGACAGACCGACAGACGGACATACCGACAGACCGACAGACGGACAGACCGACAGACCGACAGGTTGCTAAAAATAGTCTACTTACTTCCCTACTATGGAGAAGTGCATTCCCACCGAAAACTCGATATGCAAAATTTGTTGCCATCACATAACCTACCTATTGTATACACAATACGGTCGGTAAAAAATGCATTGACTTATAGTTAATAAATAACAAAATATTAATAAAAGTGCGTGATGGTTTCCTCGTCCCCCTCGTCTCCGGGTTCTAGTTAAAAATAATTATCCTTGATAGTGAGCGAAAATTTTTGGGATAATTGATTGATGAAATACCGACATAATACTGCTTCATCTTCTATTCGATTACTTGTAAAAATAATAATGTAATATTTTCCGTTTTAAATTTAGTTTTTAACTGTTAATAACAATTTCTTATAGCTAGGACACTGAATATAAAATTTTAATTATTAATTTTACACTTTACTATTAAGGCACTCACAACAAAAAATTGATTTTAAGTTTTGAAAAACTTTTACTTTAATTTCTTTATAATTTCAATTTGCTAAAAGAATAAAATTGCCATTTTCTAAATCGCTGTTGCAACAGTGATACCTCGTAGCCCGCAAAAACTAAATCTTACAGGGCGATGAAAAAAGCGAATAGCTCTTTTGTTTCAAATGATAGGTCTGGGATGTGAAAAACAATTTTTTTTTTTTAATTTCAAGGAATAAAATATTAATACATAAAACTTCCAAAAATTATTATTAGGGGAAGAAAATGTTCTTACGAGGTATCACTATTTAATGTTCTTTTATATGAATTGTTGATACGTGGTTCCACAGTACAAAGTATAAACTGTTGATTTCGTACTAGAAAATGTATGATTATTTGTAATATTTTAAAACAAAATTATCAAAAATTATAAATATATTTCTTATTAACGCATAATAAAACAAAAACTTCTAATTCATTGTGTATTATGAAAGACAAACAGCTAATTCATTATGTATTATTAAAAAAGATACTCTTTGTTTATTTATGAAAGATTTTTTTTAATTATTTGTAAGGAAGGTTATCGTAAAAGGAGTTATAGTCCTTTGGAACTACTACTTTTATTTCTTGTAAGTGAAGCCATTTACGGTGTAATATTTTCAACGGCTCATTATGTACGCTGGTGAAATTTTTTAAATTTGCTGACTTCATCATTTTAATGTTCGAACGTCTTAGTGGTAACTCGATCCAACTTCCAGTAAAAGCCGTTTTAACTTTAATGCCAGTTGGACTATATTGTATAACCTTTACGTTATTGACCGTTGAGTCAACTGGTTTAATAGATTTAAATATTTTATTTTTGTCATAGTTTTTTGTAAATTCATAGGAAAGTCTTATTATATATGGATTTTTTTCCTTGCATTTATAGTGTTTTTACAATATAATATTCAATATAGAATATAATATTCGCAATATAGAATTTTAAATATAAAAAATCCGTTCCGCAGTTTTAATTTATGTGACTTACGAGGTTTCGCTGCACAAGAAAAATTCAGAATATAAAATTTAAAATTGTGTGGTAACAAAGTGATAACTCGTAAAGGCTGAAACGAGGTTGACAAAAAATTTTATTTCTTTTTAACAATTTCGTTTGAATAATTACTTTTCGTGTGAGCTGAATTATGCAACAATGAAATGAAATTTTAAATAAGCGATGTGAAGAAACAAATTCATTTTTTCTAAGTTGTGAAAAAAGAAATAGTTTTAAAAAAATTTGAAATCAGAATTAACAAATCCCAAATACACAAAATAGCGATGACGATGAGAAGGGGACTGATGCAGGTAGAAGGGGAAATCGTCATCGCAATATCGATGAAATCAGGTCATCGGAAGAACTACAACGGCCTTATAGACGTGTAGGAGCTTCGTTGGTTAGACTTGGAGATCAGTCTTAGAATAACTCTATGACTATACATAACTCCTGCTAGCTCCTTAGATACTCCTTAGGCGTCGATCGTGTGATGCCACATGGTTCAACAGACGAGTTTGCAGGCCAAATTGCAGAAGCTTTAGAGGTTGGCCTGCCTGAGGGTAACCGGGACAATGCGGAGGGCTCAGACCGCTGTGCAGATGTTGATAATTGGGTTGCGACCACTGCACCTCCATATAGTGAAAGAAGCTTGACAAACGACTTACCGGTTTCATGTATCACAGGATTCATAGAGACTTCATACGCGGACGTGTCCAGGACGTTAAGAGCTGTAAGTAGTTCGTGTGTAAGTAGTATCCGCCCGCAAACGCAAGCTACGTATGCTGATACACTATACTTTAACACAATATTAATACAGCAATTTATAACATAACATGTTATTTAAACTCAGCCTAAGCGATCAATTACTGTTTACGCATAAAATAATTCGCTACTAAAATCCATGCACGTAATATGTATTTGGATCTTATAATACATGTGAATAAAACGCGTAAGTGTATAATCAGTTAGCACTTATACTAATGTATATAGTGTAATGCGTAGAGCATACGATTTTTATGCAAAAAGTCTCAGGTTCGAACCCTGTAAAATGCGATTTATCAGATGAACTTTTTTTTTATGGATTATTTTATTTTGTTTTGTTCTTATTTAAAATGAAATTAATAAAGCTTTACACTTACAAAATAATATTAGTAAGTTTCCGCCCCTTCAAAAACTTAATGCAATAAAATAACATTTTCTTATTAAATTTTGTCCTAAAAATATATTGTCAAGAAATTTGTCAAATGCGTACGTACATACAAACTTGTTATAAAACTATGTAGATTTTATTAACTTTAATAATTTTCTTGAGTGTTTACTTCATGTTATAACTCACACTTCCAAAACACAATTTATATAGAAAACTTA